TCAGGCTCAAAAGCTTTTATAAAATAAGTGAACAAAATGAAGTAAAAACGTTTGCAGATCAAATATCTAATATGAAATCACTGGAACATTACAGTTGGGTTAAAAGAAATAAGGAAAAAGAAAACTATATAAATGATCCCCTTGATCATCATGGCATATCACTGTATTTTAAAGTCAGATCTAACTCACTGGATTTAGAGGGTAATAAAATAACATGGGACAAATATAAAGGGAATGGAATGTGCAAGCTATATAATGACGACAAAGAAGATATTTATCATTTTCTATTTTTATGCAAAGCAACTTATCATTTAAGACACAAATTTTATGGAGTTTTCATGTACAAAGTTCAAAACCTTGAAGTAGACCCAACACTTATTAATAACTTTCTTTCTGGAGGAATTAATTTTAAGTTTAATGTACTTTTTAGCGACATATTGTGGAAAGTCAACAATAATTTGGGGAATATTGTATCCAAGGAAGTTAGAGTATTTATTACTCAATTGTATAAGTATAGAAAAGAAAGTTTGAATTTAATGTGATTTTTCTTCTTTCCTTTTTCAAATATGTATGATTTGGTTGTTTTCTTCTCTTTGTTTGCCGCTCCAAAGGCTAATAAAATATTATTATTATTATTATTATTTATTGTTTTTTAGGAACGCCCTCGTCGACAGTTTTGACGGATTCAGTTGTTTACAATCGGCGCTCCAGACTATTTAAGAGTATGGTACAGCAACCATGTTTCTTATGTTTTTTTCAACATTTCTGGAAATGCACCCTAATTTTGAAGCCAGCAGACAATATTTTAGTAAATTTTCAGTTTTCATTCAAAAAATTTGGCAATTTCTGCCCCAATCTCTAAAGAAAAGACGATAAACAGGACTATTTTGTGAATTTGTGATTAAAAGAGGGAACTGGTGGTGAAAAGGCTAAGCAATTTGTTTTCCGTATGTTGAATATCTGTACGAAATTGGTTCGAATATTATTCATTCTCTAAATAAGAGCACTTTCGAATACATATAATTTCACAAGTTTCTCATTGTGGATGCTGTGTATACTCTGTGAGGTTTTATAGCGAAAAAAACCTCAATTTAAATCCACTGTATAATTATGCACTTACACTAATGCCACTATTATAACATGGTTAGCAACGTGGTAAAATATTGTGCTTTAGTAACCGCCAGGTCAAACATGTGTACGATGTGGGTTAAGTAAAGCATGTGTGGTAGTCACATGACACATTGTAGAGAGTCCTTGACATTTATCTGTGTTAGGAACGAGGAGGAAAAGATGTATAATATTAAAGTTATTACGAGGAAACCGAAAAGTATGCACTCAGACAGTACGCGGTCACATCAACCCCCGCTGCGGTATCCTCGTAATAACCTCATAGTATAATAACAAAAGTCTTGCCAGGCCTGGAATGTTGAATTACAACAATTGAACGTGATTCCACTGATGCAGTTATACGAGCAATGAAACCATCATTGTAACATGGAACCAGTATTTAGTCACGATTAACTCACTATAGTTCATAATGGACTCATTATTCCATTGAATGGAAGTAAATTTCATGTATTAACTAATAACATCTAGCTTACATTGAATCTTGGACATGTTTTGTCTGGCACAGTCAGAACCAAATGCTTCTAGGTACGCTAGGAGCAACCAGGAGAGCCACTGTACAAATCAGTATGTGAATGTTAGAAATAAAGACTGATTTGACACCTATCCAGATAATACATAATTTTTAAATTTTATTTTTATTTAGACACTCGTGGAGAGGAGCTATTGTTATTTCTCAGTACAAAAAAAATGAAGTGTAAATGTATATTTTTTGTCACAGCGGTTATAGTAGTATATATAATCATTGAGTACACAGGTAAATACAACACTAATAACAACAATGTATACATCCGCATTGCGTATCAAATATGCTGACACAGTTAAGCCTTGTGTATCATGAATTCGAAAATAGCCGTGATTGAAAAAATCAATCAACGTTGTTGACAATATGTCTAAAATAAAAGCAGAATATGTGTAACAAATACAACGATACAGTGATTCATTAAATATGTTGAATATTGGTAGGAAATATGAATATGAAGTAAATACGACAATGATTGAGCCGGATGTAAAGTGAAACGTGTTCAAAATCGAATGTGTTTCATTTGTCTATTTTGTGTTTCAGTTATGAACATCTTACCAAATATGGTGCACGTTTCACCAGTACCAGCATTTAGGACAACAAGTATCAAGAATGGTTCGATGGTGGGTTATCGATGGAGGATAACGGATCAATCAGATAATTGTGATGTAAGTCGAATACACAGTTGTACAAGACCCATCACTTTCTATATTACCAGAATAAACAATAATCAGGCGATGTTCTTACTCCTTCCATAAGGCTATACATGAGGAATCAATGATAACAATCGTCGTTAGGCACTTGAGTGGAGTTACAAGTAATATGATAGGCAGTCACCACGTTACTTCATCCATATTTACCGTAGATGCAAATTGCATATCCTCTATATCACCCTATTGTATATAATTATCAACCTGACATAACGAGCTTATAATTAAATTATGTAAAGAAAGGCTAAAATGCGGCTTGTAAGAATTTGTTCACTCAAGAAGTCAGAAGATGGCCCTATCTGGCGGGTTAAAGAATTCTTTATATATATATTTGAAATATTTTAAGAGTCGTTTCAATGATATACTAGTACAAATATGTATCTTTTCAAAATTAATCAATGTACTCACACGTACGTAGACTTACGGATGTCACACAACTGTATGTTACCTAATTTCTATAGACCAGGCCTTCCTTTAGATAAGAACAATGAAAGTCACGCAAGTACAACAATGGCTTAGAACCTTAATAATTCCATTTCTACCAAGCGATTTCCCGTCTCGTATCACTTATTAAAAGTGTGCTCATACAATGTACACGAAACATACATTATTCCATTGTTGTTGTATTGATTCGTTAACGACGGCATGTACATAGGAATCGAACACTGGGTCGGAATTTGCTTCAATATGATAAAACAAATTGTAGCCTTTTATATTGGCAAACAGCGTGCCCAGAAGAAGAAAAACAGCAATTGTAATGTACAAGTACGAAATTATTGTATAAAGTAGTGATAGTACAATAAACACTAATGTTGCATGAGGTGGCTTTCTTTTTTGAGACGATCATCTCATTGGCTAGCGGATACATCAGGAAAACGTGGTTAGATACTAAGGTCATTTTTTTCAACTGCTTTTGAAGTCTGTTTTTTTTTTCAGTCGTCAAATTACACATGGGCAAGCTCGAGAATTTATACATAGTCAACAAGTGTGAGAAGTTATGTAGATACAATTTCTCAGCAATTTGTGTTCACCTCTCATAATTCTCAATATTTATCAGTTCTAGCCAATCGGTGAGAATTTGAATCCTCATGTTTTATGTTTACAGGATTTATTTTTTCAAATGTCACCCCACCACCACCACCACCACCACCATCACCACCACCACCAACACGGTGAAAATGATATCAGGTGTAGTTGTGCTGCCGGAAAGTGTCAATTTCTCTGCACAATTTTAGCCAACAACTCATACTTTTTCTAGAAGCCATACTCGACGGGCAATAATCTTCTTGTACATTATACTTTCCCACCCAATACAGGTACTACACAATAATTAGTGTTTTTCTCCTTACATATTTGCCTGTTCATATGTATGTGGCGATACAAAATAAGATAACATAATAATATTTAGTGAAAATAGAATTAAATATATGCAAAGTAAATCCACGCATTACGATACATAAATTGTAATTAAATTATCTTGTATGTGTGTATATATATGTGTTCTCACAATACCGCATACTCTGAGGTTGTAAATACACCACCATATATGCTCTTCTCTGTGGACGTATACAAGATCCTTGAATTTGTTCTAGTAGTTTATGTGGCAGTCTTTTCCTCCTGTGATCAGGTCAAAAAATTGAACAAAATAAAATAAGATTGCGAATTTGTAAAATTATTTGACTCTGCGTGATAATTCCTGGTATCCAATGCCGAAACTAGGAATTAATTTATTATATTAAAGGCGTCATGGGTTACAGTAGTACTATCACAATATATAACACAAATACTGCATAATTGGACCTTACGAGACAATAGTGATACAACGGTGTACAAGGTGTGTATGCTAGAACCATTTACAATATTACTTGTTGTTTGTTACACAGACAGAAACCATGGACGACAAACAGAGAAAACGTAAACAGTTCATTCATCGGGTATGTAACACAAGTACTGCATTATTACATGCCTTTACCTGCCCGCCAATCAAACACACATTTCAGAATAGAAACATCCGGGGATTTTTGCGGGCCAGTGAGTGTCAATAGCAACAGATAGGTCCAATGATCAAAGAAATTTTTGGAACTACTTTCGTTTGCTTGGAGAAAATTTATAAAAAATAAAAAAGGACAATCATGATGTTAATTTGCAACCACACACAAATCTAATTTTACAACAATACATGTAAAAACAACTCACGTCGGATACAGCTTGTCAACCAAAAATGAAATTCAAACAATCGCAAAAGTTCAACAACTTGTGACAACAGTGCATACTAATTTACAATCGCAAGTTCTAATCAACTTCCTAGCTAGATTCTGAGCTAGTGTCAATAAGCCGTATACGACCGAATTTGTTCCCGGAACAGTTACACTCATTCTGATGGTACAATTGTAACAGTTCATAATGACATATTCTGAAACTTGTCATGTTTGGTTCCCATTAGTGAGTAGTACAGTACATACTGTACATAGTACAGGGTCAAGTTTATTTATATCATGATCGCGAGGTACAACTTGATTGTTTGCATCGCTCAAACTATACGATAATTCTTTCTGTTCGGTTAAATTGAGTCCGTGATCGTAGTGTTGGAGACTAGCTGGATTCTGATGGACGGTACATTTTGCAATTATATGGGCGGCGACACCAGCAGATGACAAACACTTAACACAAGTCTTCCGTACAGAATGATTAGTTTTTCGACCGGATATACCGGTCGGGACAAACATGTAGCATCTACCATCCATCTCCCGAGGCTATTCTTTCCGAGCGGATGTGGATAATACCAAACACCAGATTTGATCAAATGTGATGGAAGTTGAGTGAGATAAAAGTTCGAGTCGGGCTTGCAGGCAGTGGGTGGACGGTGTTCTATGTACTCATAATATAGTGATACTGGATCTCGCCCGCTGTTTCCAGGAGTTGAAAACATCTTCGGAGAACATTCTCGCAGGGGCGTCGATCCATTCGGAAAAGTGAGGGGGGACACTTTTGTGTCCGCGTAAACGGCCAATGTCCGCGCTTGCGCGAACAGGGGGGTGTCTGAAAAG